GATCATGTCAGGATGGATGCTGGTTGTATGCTAGAGGGCACTATCTCCTTGAATACTGGATACCATTTTAGATTTATTTTGGGTTTACAATCTTACATGAAGTTAACTCAACCAAATGAACAAATGGCGCTGTAGTGGGATCACTTAAATGAGATTCTGTTAATAATAATTTAAAAAGAGAGCTGTGGAAAGATCCTCACTTCTGTGAGACACTGAACTGAAGGGGAAAAAAAGAAAAAAAGGTTATTTGGTCCCCTGAAATTATTTGGATGGAACCAATAATTGTGATGGCATGAGGAAACAATTTGTGTGGACAAAGTGTAGCTCAGGCTCTCTCCAGTAGGAAAATCCAGCCATGATGAAGTCAGTCCAAAAACACTGAGATCAACAGACACAGGGTATCAGTTTAAGCCTACAAAGAGTCTGTTGTAAACTGAATGTGATTAAAGAAATACGTGGAGAAGCTATTGTAAGATGAATCGCATCAAATATTTGTGGACTAAGAGTGAGTTAGACAGAGATTCCACTTCCCTGGGGAAAAAGAAAAATTGTTCTTGCTACCAGAAAAAGCATTTATTTAATGAAAAATTAACAAAAAGCATGTTTTTTACTGCAATTTCTGCATATTAAGAAGCCTTTCTAAAACAGAAAAAAAAGGGTCCCTTTTTAAGAAACAGGGTTGTATTTGAATTCATCTTAAGTTCCAGCCTAACCACTGATAAAAATCAAGCGTAGGGATACCCTTCAAAACTTCAGTGTGTCCCTACAGTAGGCTGAGTACTGCTTGTGTCCCACTGTCTGAACTCTGTAGGTTTAGGTTGTCTAAGAAATTACTATTTAGCTATTTATAATCAATAGAGATGGTTAATGGCATTTAAAAAAAAACCTAACTCTTCTTGCAGTTTTAAATTGCAGAAGGTTTAATCTGCAGAGGTACCTTTTTAGATTCAGAATCTGGTCCAGCATATTGCTACTTTTCTGAGAGATGTATCTTGGGTTTTTTTTGGGTTTCTTTAATCCTATCCAGAAGTTGATGTTTGGGGAAAGTGATTGTTCCTTTTGCATTGTAAACCATCTTTCAGAGGGGTGTAATTGAAAACCCTTCTGAGTTTAAACTAATTTGAGGAAAAGATCTTGAAACTGTGTAGGTTGTAAACTGTCATGTTATCATTGAGAGTAGATCAAGGATGTTTGCAATCCTTTCTTAAGATGGGTTAGTTCCAGTCCTTCTTTAGACCTAGACCTGTTTGAAAGGGCTCCATTTCAGACAACATTGTTATTCAGAATTTTAGCTGTTTCTCTTTCCTTATTGTTTATAACGGGAACTCTACTTGCATCTCAGATGCAGAATCTGGTAAAATGTACTGTTAGCTCAATAGGAAAATGAAGGTGAATGAAAAAAAAGACCATTTCAAATTCAGAAAAGGGATCAATAAAGTTGTAGAAGTAATGAAAGACCATCTGTGAATGAATTTATCTTGTATCATGTGGTTTTCTGCTCATGAACCTGTAAGAGATTTGGTCCTTTGCTGCTATAGACTCTGTAAATTACTGTCCTTCTGGAATACACTCCTAAAGGAAGATATGTATTTCTTTATTTAGTTAAATCTTCCATTTTCTGGTGGAAAATTCCAGTGTGTTCATAAGGGGTAAGTTTCTGTGAAACTCTGATGGTTGTATTTTAGATTAAAGGGATGATGAGATTTCTGAAAGGCCAGATTATGCCTAACTCGCACTGACTATAGACAGAGGTACCTGAAAACAAATTGTGGTCATCATTTGAGCTCTATAATCCTTACCTAGGGTTGTGCATCCATTTTTTTGAGTGTTGTAGTCACTTGGAAGACTAACATAAATCCTCAACTTTGCTGCCTTAGCCATTTTAGCAATTTGTTAGCCTTCTAGAATTCTAATGGGCACATGGCTTGTAATTTAAACTGGGTCTTTAAAAAGCTGCAAGAAGAAGGAAAAAGTTTCTTCGTCTCTACTATCGCTGTAGATTGGCCTACAGTCCAACCTATATGTTTTCATTTTAGATCAAAAACATAATAGTCTCTGCTATTACTAGTACAAGGAGGTGGTCACCTGTATTGCCTTCCTTGCTTCTTTTTATAAGTTCCCTGCAGAAAATGGTTTCATCCCTGTTTGGAGCAGTAAGAAGCAGAAGGCGATGATGATCTACAGCACGCTATCTGAGCGCAATAGAGGAAATCACATATTCACTAATAAAGTTAGCAGAAGAGCTTTATTTCAACGTGCTAGTCAAACTCTTCTTTTGAAGCTATGTGACAGAATTTGGGTTATTCTGGGTTAAGAGCAGTAGGAGGTTTTTGATACAATTTGGAGATATATATATATACAAATATAAAAACCCAAATAATCAATACAAACCAAGGCATCCTCTGTATTTTATTGTCAAAGTGAATTGTCGTGGAGACTTTCGTAGACAGTTTACAATATTTTCATATGTCTTATTGAATATAAATGTCCTAAAGTATAGAACGTTGCTGCGGAATGATCAACTAATGATTTTGTGTCCCTCCCTTTTTGTTTGCCAAAATAGAGACAACTACTTAGCGCTGATTTTCAGAAAGCGAGATTTTGTAAAAAACCAAGTTTCTATTAAGGCAGCACTGAAATGAGTAACAAAAATGTCACACTCAAAATCGATAGCAAATGTATATCTTGGTGGGGTGCAATGCAGAATATGAATAATTCACGTTAACTTCAGGAGGGAGTTGCATGGTTTCTGCAGAAGAAAAGCTTGGGATCTGTCACATCAAACATAGCTGCAAAATGCTGAATTCAGTGGGCTAGTAGAAAACTGCCAGTAAGAGTCTATGTGGCGATCTCTGTCTTTATACATATGCTTCACTGCAGACACGTAGGTGGGAAAGCGTAGAAGACAGAATTCAGGTAGGATGTATGAAGTGTTAGTCTGTTGGACTAAGTCAAACATTAATAGAAAATACAGATTGCTTCTCTATGTACAGGCAATAGGTAGTTTTCAGAACAGGCAGTGTGCAGCTGAGTGTAGGTTCTGGTATGGATTTTTTTTGCCTGAGTTTTTGTTGTCCTTGGGTTTTTGGTGGTGAGGGTTGTTTTTTGATTTTTTTTTTTAAATATAACCTAACTTGACTTAGGAAGCAAAGCTCAAAATGAGATCAGTAGAAGCGAAATAAGTCCTAACAAAGGGCTGTTTAAAGTCACTGTTTGTTTTCAGACCCAGTTGACTGCTGCTAAGAATCATTTCGTGCTCAATATGCCAAATCGTATGGACATGCTCCACCTCACAGCAACCCCACACATGGTTCAAGAGGCTGCTGGGCTTTTGAAATGCAGTCCTTTAACTGTGAAGTGGAAAATCAAGATAGGGTAATTAGAATCATAAATACCAGATTTTTGGGGAGGAGCAGTATTACTTTAGCCTGTCTTTTTAACTTTTTACATACAATAGTCTTCAGTTTTCTGATAATAACTTACTATTTTCTATAAAATATTTCTCCTTTTTACTTATTCTTCTTTTTGACTATGCCTATAAGATTTATTTCTCAATCCACTCCTTATTACAGATGCCCCTGCTTAGCACAGTGACCCATTATGCCATCCAAGCACATACCCTGATTTTCATGAACAATGTTGCTGTAATTAATCCCAGAAGTTGTCTGCCTTTTAATACTCCACTGGACCCCTCTATTTTGAAGATGAAGCTGGAAGTGTTCTGGGTGCAGATTGTCTTATAAAATCTTCAGCACTGCCAGATTTGGATGAAAAGTGCATTTTCCAATGAACTAAGGATTCTTTCAGTCTTTCAAAAAATTGAAGGTATACATGTGCTATCAGAACAGTGTTACCATAAAGTCTCAAAAATTTCAGAATGTGGGCCTGAGCTTTAAGTCAGGATTTTTGCATGATTTTTACAGTGCCTGCTGTATGTATCCTTTTTTATATAGAAAATAGATATATCATCTATTATCTATAATAAATGTATATTACATTTATATGTGTCTTTTCCTGATCTGACTGTAGGTGGGAAGTATAGGGTACTTTGATAAAAAATCCTCATTTACTTAGTACAACCCTGAATTTGTGTTGTCCAAATAATGTGCAAATTTTTAATTGCTTTACTATCCCAGATCTGCGAACCTGAAAAGATTCTTGCAACATGACTATAGTACTCTGTTGTTCACATGGGTGAAGTTTTATAAAGATGAGTTTTGTCTTGATAGCAAGTTATTTTATTGTATTCCATTTTCTTTTCTTTTTTTTTTCCCTTTTCTCTTTTTTCTCCCTTTTTCTCCCTTTCTCTTTTCTTTTCTTTTCTTTTCTTTTCTTTTCTTTTCTTTTCTTTTCTTTTCTTTTCTTTTCTTTTCTTTTCTTTTCTTTTCTTTTCTTTTCTTTTCTTTTCTTTTCTTTTCTTTTCTTTTCTTCTTTTCTTTTCTTTTTTCTTTTCTCTTTTCTTTTTTCTTTTTTCTTTTTTCTTTTTCCTTTCTTTTTCCTTTTTTTTTCTCTTCCTCTTCTCTTCTCTTCTCTTCTCTTCTCTTCTCTTCTCTTCTTTTTTTTTTCTTTTTTTTTTATCAGTTATGGTTAAATATGTGCAGATTTTTATTCCTGAAAAGCTAAGTTGACAGTAGCTTGTATCGGGAGACATTCTATCTTCTTAGAGTCTCTTGCAAATGCAAAACCAGATGGGTACTTTTTTAAAGGAATTGCATTTCATTATACAGTCTTCTTAGGTGAATTTTCATGTTTAAGAAGCCAGAATACAAGAGAGTGCTATATTAGTGTATTATTCTCACAACAAACAAGCCACTGTTCTGTTGCTACCTGCTTGGCCATTGTTCCCAATTGTGTATGCTTTGCAGTGGTATTTGGATGGTTTCCTGCTCTCTGCCAGCACAAAAAAGGCATTTCTGTTACAATGGCCCCTAACCACACAATGACGGCATTAAGGATTTATTTGGAGGTTTCATTATTTTCTTCTCTTTTGTTCCTTCCAGGATGTCTTCCAAGCGACCAGCCTCTCCGTATGGGGAAGCAGATGGAGAGGTAGCCATGGTGACAAGCAGACAGAAAGTGGGAGAAGAGGAGAGTGACGGGCTCCCAGCCTTTCACCTTCCTTTGCATGTGAGTTTTCCCAACAAGCCTCACTCTGAGGAATTTCAGCCAGTTTCTCTGCTGACGCAAGAGAACTGTGGCCATAGGACTCCCACTTCTCAGCACAACACAATGGTAGGTTTGCTAATGGTCTATTGTGCTTACATCCATTCTTTGAATTCTGCCTCTACAGTACTTTGGCATCAAGATCTGTACTTTATGGAGTATACAATGCACAGTTACACATACAGAACACACTACAATAATGTGAAAGTTTTGACCTAGCTGGACTGCCTTTACCCTTCACTACAAACGCTAAATCACTCACAGTGCAAACCCTACTTTTCCTCACCTTTGCCTACTGGCATTTAGGGTGCTAAGATTTTTTAGCTGCAGCGATGTGGATTTGAAGTGTATGTGTTCCGCAAACAGTAAATGATTTTGGAACGTTGTAAGTGAGAGTCATGTTTGGCATGGTGTCTGAACTATCACCCCAATGCCAAGTTTATGCAATAGTTAAGGCACGGAAGTCTGTATAAAGGGTAAAAAAGGCAACTTTGGATTTTGCTTGTTTTAAAAATTCACGTCTGATGTGTATTTCACATGCCACAGATACCTACAAGTAAATTTGCTGTGCTTATGGAATTAAATTAGCCTTCTACTTTTTCACTTGTGAATTCCCACCTTTTTGTGCACTTTACAAATGACACCATGCGCTTAATTCATTGCCCTTGTTCTTTGCTAGTGTCACTATCATAACCTGATGTGCTTGGGCCCTTCATGCAGAGTGCTGTGATACATTCTTACAAAGGTGGAAAAGTGCAGAGAGGCATTGAAACCCCAGGGCTTAGGCACCTACCCAAAACTTTCTAGTGTGAGCACACTCAGCTTTTGCCTGTTTACAAATAGACTGTAACTTTTCTGTTAGTCCCCCACTTTGACAAACGCACTGACAATTTCACTTTAAGTGGAGATAATGAATGGACCTGCATATTTGAAGGCTTTTTAAAAGGCATTGCAAAATAGGTGATAGTGTATTCTCACAAAAGCCTGCAACAGCTCTGTAGCGGTATTTAAGCCCTTAGAGCTCCTTAAGCGTATGTAACAAGCCCTAAGTAAAAAGCCCTAGGGATTATGATTACTCGTAGGACCAAGTCACTGGGTAGTCACTCTCCTAGACAGAATAACTCACTGATCCTGATGCATTTTTCTTCTTTTTTGGTCTAATGCTTAAGTTCAAACAGTGGTTTGGAATATTTAATTTTACTTTGTTATTGCAACTTTAAATGAAGAAGGAACATTGTTGAAAAAATTACTTGCAGGCAGACACAGCATTATCTTTTACTAGCTTGGTTACTTCTCATTCTCTATCATATGTTTTATGGAGATGAAATTCATTACTATACAGTTCCAGCCAACGGGAAATTAGGTAATGTTACTGGTGTATGAGCTTTGCTGTATTTTGGCCTATTCTAAGAGAATGTACTGAAGATAAAGGGTTGTTCCTGATAACATTTAAGTCAATAGATAAACTTGAAATGACACTAGGAGTATAGAATCAGACCCTAATGAAATGAAACTTTGTTGTCTTTTAAGGAGACCAGCAGGAGTATTTTAAGTGTACCTCACTGAAATGACTTAACTGCTCTTTAACTGATTTTAACTAACTTCTTTATTCATTCATAGTTTTTAAGACTGAGAAGGTTAGCTGATTATCTAGCGTTACTTGCTGCTATGAAGGCTATATTTAATGTGATGTCAAAACAGTGTGTTCTGTCTCTTTTTAATAGAAGATACCGAATTACTGCATGATTTAGACACTTTCGATGGAGTAGTGGGATGCTGTAGGCTTATCGAAAGTGTGTCTGGGGGGTTGCAGGGACTGGTTTTGTCTTCATCCATATTTAAGAAAAGTGTCAGTTTGTATGAATGTGACATCTTGGTAATGTCTTTCTTTTAGTGAGGAGTGTCTTGTCAAAATCATCATTCAAGTAGGTGAGAAAGGATGTAGCCTGTGTGTCTCCAGAAAGAGGGAAGTGATCAGTGTAAATGAGTAATATATATATAATCACTCCCTCTGTTGTTGTGATACGTAGTTACAAGAAGGAAGTAACTGAACCTGGTGCTGGATAACTTTTAGATGACTTCAGTTTGAGTAATTAGCAGTTACAGAAATCATTCCCAAAGGTAGCATTACAGAGGTCATTTTTATTGTGTTTGGATTGACATGCTCTGCTATTTTGTAGTGTCTGGGAAGCAAACCCAGTCATATGCACATGTGCGCACACCACCATACAGTGCAGTCCAATACAGTTTTATTGATAGAGCTCTAGCAGTGTGTTTCACACTTCTTAATAGCTTGTCAGCTGTGCTACTACACCTACTGACCGAGTCTGCAAGTGGCCGTGGAGTTCTCATTTCACAGCCGCATGCTGTCCTTAGCAGGGTACACCTTTATAGGTCTCTCCAATGTCCAGTAAGACAGGATCAGATGTAGTCAGTCTGAAATCATGTAGTACATCACTCCGCTTCACTCCTCTAAACTCATCCTGCTTTGTGCATGGTTGTTGGCTAAGGCTCTTCTCCAGAGGGATTCTTAGATACACATGGTGTAGATCCAGAGAGATCTTTCTGTGTTAGCTACATTTGCAACACCCATTTGACTTAGGGAACAGTCTTGGCAGAAGAAAGCCACAGCCAAGGGGTCTGCAAAAGGTACGGAATTACACGGCTTTGTCTTACCAGTAGGCTGTGTAGCTGAATTCCTCTTCTTACCATAGCCATCCTTGACTCCTCATATTCTGCCTCTCAGCACTGGGTCATGAAGGAGCAGTTAGGAAAACAATTTCAACCTTGAGAATCAATTTCTTGGCCTCACTTTCCTAGCTGCTAATTGGCCCTCTGTTTCATAGTTTACTTCCAGCTGTGTTTCCTTTTACAAGTCTGACCAGCTGGGACATCATAGGATCCTTAAGGCAAAGGGCTGATTGCACTAGAGTGATAACTCAACAGTTTATCCAACTGAGACGCCTGAAAATTTACCGTGTTCCACTTTACCAGGTTGTAACAACTGCCAAGTTAGAGACACTGCTCAGAATGCTGGGTAATTTATTTTTTTTTTAAGGAGGGCAAAATCCCTAGAACGAAATCTTAAAACCTAACCAGAAATTGGCAAAAACTACAAAATCCAACTTCCTATCAGAATGAACAGGGTATTTCTGAGAATGCTGGAACTGAAGCCAGAGAAAGGTTAGTGCAGAGGGTGCAAACTGAAAATGCAGGAGGCTCCGCCTGAGCATGAGGAAACACTTTTTGCTGTGGGGATGACTGACCATAGAACAGGTTGCCCAGGGAGCTTGTGGAGTCTTCCTTCTTGGAGATACTCAAAAGCCATCTGGACACAGTCCTGGGCAACTGACTAGGTGGCCCTGCTTGATTGGGGGTTGGACTAGGTGACCTCCAGAGGTCCCTTCCAACCTTAACCCTTCTGTGGTTCTGTAATGGCAGGGACAACTCTATCCCAAACTGTCTTCCTCTTGATAGAAGAAACTAGATGCTTATTGTAAGTAGGAAAGCTCTTGCATTGATAAAAATGAAACAATATATTAGACTTAAACCGAAGGCTCAGTAGAAAATACAAGACAAATTATTTGACCTAAAATATATCTAAGAGGCACCTTAGGACATTCATAGAAGTCTCTAAGCTTTGCAGGGAAACACTTGAGGAATTACAGTATTGGTCAGTACCTCGTTTGAAGAAACCTATTCAGGCTGCAGTATTTGGACAGCACAGATAGTTTTAGTTCATGCAAGTTATGAGGGTTTATATAATTTGTTTCTGTTTGTCTGCTTTACCATGTTGCTTTTGCTGCTTCTCAAGACTAGTGATTTCACCAGTGGTGTCTCTCTGCTAATTTCTGAAAACAAGACATCAAGGCTAAAAGCACTGATTAAAATACACTATGGGCAGGGCATGGTATGCTGTGGTCAAGTTCAGCCATTCTTCTTAACTGTAGAATATCAACCAAATACTGGAATGATGATCTCGGGGGGGGGGGGGGGGGTGAAAGGTAAAAAAAGGAAGTTCTGACTAAAAGATCAAACTGGTAAGGTGCAATTTTAGTCCATATTTGTCCTATACTTCCAGTGGGATTTAGAATTCATTTTCAGCAGTGCTTTAGTTGATAGGAAATATTACAGTGTGCCATTAAGTAGCTTTACTGCTTCACACTAAAAAAAATGTTGCATTTCTGTGGGTAATTAAGTTATTTGTCTGTAATTTGGGAATAATATTAAGACATTTTGTTCATATTAAGAACAGCACTACTAGTGGTCAAAGAGCTTACCAGCTCATTGCTTCATGTTTTTCCTCCACTTTTCCAAAATAAGGGCTGTTTAATGCTGCATCTGAATTCGCTTATCACATACATCCTGGCCTGTATTTCACCTATTGGTCTGGGTTTATCAGCATGTGCATAGTATTGGATCAGAAAAACAGGCAGCTAGAGCACTTAGCTGCTATATAGAAGTTGCAAAGAGAATGGAAATCTGAATGCATATAGCTTTTTAAAAAGTCAAATAGGACTCTAATTATATGGAGCTAAAGAATGCCTATTAAAAAAACCCTGAAAAACCACAGTGGTTTTAGAGAAATTTTAATTTCCAGTGTACCTTTGTGCATCAAGCTTAGGATAAGTTATTGTGATGGTACAATGCGCAGTGTTGTGAACACCAGTGCCGTTATTGTGCCAGCTCTAATAATGAGAATTTCATTGTTTGGGGAGAGCAGTCTCCTACACTCTAGACAAAAGTGTAATTACTTTTGAACGATGTGGAATGTGCTCAGTTTAATAGCACGGAGAATAGATTCACAAAGATTCAGATAAAGCTAGCTTGGAAGCCATATGTGCAATGTGGCAGTATGAAATTGTTAGCAGGCACCGTAATTGCAACACACACACACACACAATTTCACAGTTTAAACTATAAACTGTTGTTTCTGTAAGAGATAGACAGGCTTATCTGAACAAGACTAGTTCAATTAAAACAAAGCAGAAATGGTGGTAAGTTTTCATTTGTCTTTTTTTGGTGTTCTTTCCTTCCTCTCTTAATGGTAAATTGATATTTATAAGATG